GAATCCATAGTTGCCGATGCATTGGTGTGCTATCTGGAAAACTGCAACCTCATCACTCCTGAACAGCACGGTTTCCGTCGACAGCGGTCATGTACAACTAATTTACTAATTGCACGCAGTAGTTGGACCGAGGCAGCCGACGCTGGAGAAGGTGTTGATGTGATCTACTTGGATTTTTCCAAGGCTTTCGATCGCCTAAACCATCGGATACTACTATCCAAGCTGCAGCATTACGGGATCGGCGACCCTCTTTTAAGCTGGATCGCCAACTTTCTATTTCAACGGCAATTAGTGGTCAGAGTTCGGAGCTCTTTATCGGACCCCATACAAGTCGAGTGTGGTGTGCCGCAAGGCTCGGTTCTAGGTCCACGTTTGTTTTTGGTGTTCATTAATGACCTTGCACAGGGAATCGCTTCAAACTCCCTAATTTTTGCCGACGATATCAAGATCTGGCGCAGGATCCAGACGAACGCCGACCAACATGTGCTCCAAAGTGACTTAGATACAGTGTATCAATGGTCGATCCAAAACTTATTGCATTTCAACGTCAGTAAATGCAAGGTGCTTTCCATCCGACATCAAAGCAGCTACTCATACCGACTCGGAACGGATGTACTGCAACAATCAACTCTCGAACGTGACTTGGGTATCCTGGTTCAAGATGACTTGGGTTGCTCCAGGCAATCCGAAAAGGCCTCGAAGACCGGGAACCAACACGTTGGGCTGTTGAGGCGGGCGTTTGGACAAATAAACAGCTCCATATTTCGACAAATGCTCAGTGCGTATGTTCGCCCCCATGTCGAATACGCAATTCAAGCCTGGCATCCATGGCTGAAACACGACCTTAATGCACTGGAGCAGCCACAACGCCGGGCATCTAAGAACGTCATTGGAATGCGCAATCGGTCCTACCAGGAGAGGCTGCGACGACTAGGATTGTTCAGTGGAAGCTATCGCAGGCTACGAGGCGACCTGATTATGACATACTTGATTCTGCGAGACCCACATCATGTGTGCCGCCCTTTACTGCAACTCAGCAGCAATACAAACCTGAGGGGCCACTCATTAAAACTCGCAGAACAATACAGTCGTCTGGAGTGCCGCAGAAATTTCTTTTCCATCCGTGTCTGTCACCCGTGGAATGCTCTCCCAGAATCGGTCGTTTCTGCACCGACACTAACAATATTTAAAAGACGGTTGGACGATGCACTCATTCACTTACACTTTGTTACTTAACACTATGTCTCCATCCTACACCTGGAGTTTACCCTGGAATTATTTGTTGTTAACTGTGGGTGTTGTGAATCTAAGAGGATCGCAGGACTGCAGCGAAGCAAACGATAAGTCCTTATTTTCGTATTTAAAGTATTAACTATTTTACTATCCTCTTCATCATAATTGTTATGTGGATATCCCCACCAACTATCCAACGGGGCTTGTAAAGCAACGCTTCTTAACCCGTATAAATTCATTGTTCATTGTTAGTTGGTATACACTTCACTATTGTAACGAATAACGAACCGTTGAAAGTTATTTACTATCATCAGAAATATTTGGCTAAATGGTATGCTGCTGCTGGAGAGTTGCGCTGGTTGCATATTCCTATGACATCCAACACCGTAGCGCTAATCACATTCCACATGATTATTTGTCACGACACGGTAGGTCTAATGAAATGGACTTCAGAGTGTCACTTGGTGCAGCTATTCCCGGTCGACTGTTCCCATCTAATTCCAGATAAACAGAAATAATATCATGTCGTTCTGTCATCATTCCGTAAAGGATGGAACCCTGATCAGAAGAGAAGATGGCCGCGTTTTTACAAGCTCCGTGATGAATCTGCTGTTACTGCCGATGCAATTCTGTGTGTCCAAGGTCGCACTGTTGTGCCTTCTAAGCTGCGACCTGCTGTGTTACAGCATTTGCATTCTGGTTGTCTGTGTGTGGAAGCGATGAAGTATTTGGCTCAAATGACGTGTTGCTGGTCAGAATTAAATATCGATACACTCCGCGCGGCAAAGGATTGTAACAACTTCCCACATAAAATTCATACTAGACCATCTAACTGGACACCGAGGCGCATGAGATGTGAGGTGTGGTAACTAGTTCATGCAGCTTACTGTGGTTCATTTTTGGACTAATACTTTGCTCTGATCATAACTGATTTCTTTTCGTCATTACCATAGTTGGATTTCACCATTTATACATCATCTGATTTTACCATCACGGCCCTTCGTAAGACTTTTAGTCGCGAAGGTGTACCATGTATCTTGTTCAAAGATAGTGGAACTCATTTCAGTGCTGAAAATGTAGACGAGTGGCTTAAAAGAATGGGTCACCGCCACCTTTATAGTGCGCCAAGGCATGCACAGTTCAACGGCGGTGCCAGGAATTTTGTAGCACTCCAGAAAAGTTCGGTTACTTAGCTCAATCCAGCAAAGTTCACTGAGCTTGACAATTGGGTTGAGAAGTTCCTTATGCAATACAGGAATGCAGTACATTAAACTGACGGAGACGGCCCTGCTAAGTTTTTCAAGTGGAGTATGATTAGGACGAATATGTTGTGCGTGGAGTCTGCCGAGATTGTTTTCCACAGTGGAAATGATATCCGACCATCTCGTGGAATAATGTGCCATCAGCTCGGTTCCCGGATGTGCCAAATACTTGATCTATCTGATGGACCTGTACACAGTAGAAGCTATGATCAGTATTTTTGTACCTCAGTTAACAGACCTGAACTTTTGTGGGCGCCTAAACCTACTTTGTTTGAGTCCAATCCAGAAAGGAGAAGTGCAGGAAAGTCCGCCGTAGCAAGCATGAAGATCCGAACGGATGAAGAACATAAAAGGCCGTAACTACAGCAAGCCAGCACTATATTTAAACGGTGGCGGATGTGGGGATTGTACTTGAGCGATATTTTATTGTACTTGTTTTATGGTACATTATTAGTTCGTGCAATTTCAAATTGATTAAAATGATTTCCATGTGCGCCCTCTGTGCGTTATTAGTTCTGCGTTGACGCTAGCCCTGGGTTTAAGCCAAGCCTTTTTCAATTCCGACTAGTCCGAACTAGGTAGATTTCCATTATTTCCTACAATACCACCCATGTTCTGACTGTCCATTTGTTTTGCTGAAGGTACTTTCCATTCACTTTCGACGTTCCAGTGAGAAGTGCGGTTCATCTCTTCGTGCATCGCTAATTGAGTTCCAGTTTTCTTCAGCTCGTACAATACGCGTTTGGTTCGGCAACGTACGATGCTGAATACTCGGTATTTGTGGTTGCTCTTACTGGTAATTGGTGCTCCTGCGTTAGGTTCTACAGTCTTTTGAACAGACTGTCGATGCGACGTCGAAAAAGTAGACAGCGGTTGGGTGCGCACAAATGTGTGGCGCATATTGGAAGTGTGCCAGGGATCCAACTATGACAATGAACATTGTAGTATGCTTGCGCTCGTGGATTGCGAGAGCTTCCGTGTCCGATGTGTACGTGGGTCTTTGTAGACCTGAAGAGCTGAAATAGGTGAAAGATATGAAATGAAACTGAGACCTAAAACAGAAATAATAGATCTTATGAATTCCACAAATACATACGAACGCAAAGTCCACTACATACCATCAGGTACACGATTCAGATTCAGCTGGGACTGGGACGACAGGAAAATCTCTTGAGTGTTCTTTCTTGGGCTGATCCTTGAGCCAAGAAATGTTAAGGTAGCTACATAGTCTTGATTGCTCTGAAAAGAAACACCAGAACCACACCCTGGTCAATCAATTACTGTCCACGTTCCCTGCACTAACAGTCCCCGCTGTGTAGGTCACGTGAAGTAAGGAAGGGGTGGAAAGAAAGTGGAAGCTAAAGAGGGAGGAAAGTCTTTAAAAGAAGGATAAAACCAAAGAGTGAGGAGAATGGCAGAATATAAATTCAAAGTTGGAAATGGATACGGTAAGGAGAAGGGGAAGGTTTCGTGTTGCCAGCAATGAACACTTAACTGACGCTCGAAACCCTTAACCGCGGGTTCACAGACTACACTTTCTGGAAGCGAGTTCCAACGCTTGATAACTACGCGATAAGCGAGTTTCTGCCCTGATGCGGTCGGAGAGCGGCTTGTGTAGATTCATGGGATGAGCCCACTACAAGGCAAATTAGCCGGGCTAAATAGCCAGCCCAAGTCCGGTCCAACTTTCCCTGTTACAATGCAGTAAGTAAGGGTGCGATACGGGTGTTTCCGTTTTAGATCCATCAATAACTGAGCACTTCATCAATTCCTGGCTCAACGATCCACTCAAGATGAAACACTCACGGGATTCTCCTATCGTTCCAGTCCCCATCTGAACTGAACTGAACTGAACTAAGGGTTAGGTCGCTTCGAAGCCGTCAGTAGTGTATGGAGTACATACCCAAGCTAAGTAGGCGCTCGAACATTTTGGCACCTACTTTCAAAATCCTCTCGAGTTCCAGGTCGTCCCGAACAAGGCAACACGGGCAAGGCTGGACGCAGTATCCCAGATGAGGCCAAACGAAATCTGAGAACAGCTTCATAAGGATGCCGGCAGTTAAGACCGCGAAAGAACGGGGCGTTAAGCACAACTTACTGAAACCCCTACTTGCGGCCATCTGAAATCCATTCTGCGACCGAGCACACTAGACGATATTTCTCTAACTAAATGGGAGAGAGTGTCAGCATGATATGAAACCAAACAAATCAGAAAAGTAAGAATGTGATACGATCGTTGAGGAGTGGATGTTATGCGCACTTTCTATCAAACTATCTCTAAATTTGAAATATAACCGTTTAATTTGGTTCAATAATCTATATCCTAACCTTTTTATTAAACATTTCCAACAAAAGGTAGCAAGGTTATGCACTTAAATGCTTTGTTTAACTGCGCTAATTAATTTCTTGCTCACCGTTACTATGAGACTGCCCTTCTCTCAACCAATCAGAATGTGGCATGTTGAGGCGCAGTCTCATATATCGTTGCAGAGGGCGGTTCACGCCGATTTGGCGCGAATTGTAATGACTGAGAGGGAGCTTGCTGATGATGCGCAGTGGAAGCTTATACAAAAGAACACTTTCACTCGTTGGGTCAATGAGCATCTTAAAAAGGCAGAAATGCACATAGACGACCTCGCTGAGGACTTATCTGACGGGATACGCTTAGTTGCACTAATAGAAGTCTTGACAAACCAAAAATTCCGGCAGATAAACAAAAATCCAGTGTTTAGAACGCAGAAGCTTGATAACGTTACTAAGGTGCTGAAGTACCTGGAAGAAAATGAGAAACTAAAGTTGGTTAGCATCGGTAAATTTTTCGTTATTCTGCTAACTGTCATTTTTTCAGACAGTAGCCACATTGTTGACTGCAATTTGAAGCTCATTCTTGGATTAATATGGACCCTTATTATGCATTTCTCAATTTCTCTGCCAACTTGGGATGACGAAAAGCAGAAGCCACAGGTCTGTTTCTGTTCATTTTGTCAGTCACAACGACCCTATTATGTTGAGCATCACATTTCTGATATTGTGAAAGCCTTTATGCCTTTACGTTATTCATATTTACTATATAATTGCTATTGCGTTTTATCGGCATTGCCAGACAAGCTCGGTATGGATGACTGTTCTGTTTTAAACTGATTTCGTTTCCCCATGAGTTTCACGTACCTAATGCATTTGGCTTAGTTGAGCTCTTCGAAACTGCATCACATACGTTAGCTCAAGAAGAAACATTCAGGGGATTTCCCTATCGTTCCCATCCCATCTGAATCTGAATTAATCGACGTGGGATGGCCTGTTTATGATGCCGGACATATTTTCTATGGATACTGTTTTTCGCGTCATTAACTTGATCCTAATGCATGCTCGGGATGTCACTATTGACGACGGAACGAACGCTGTAGTATAGCTTATCTCATTTGTTCATTGGATGACTACCTTGAATGCATGCGGTGTAAACGCTAATATCATTTGCGTGACTTATTTGCATTACGTTAAATAAAACTATGATTTCAAGCAAAATATGCTGTTAAGTGGTTAAGGTATTTTTATTAGCACTTTATTAAGTATGTAACAATTTGACAGTAGCATCGACGACGATTATCTTATGAGTCACTGACTGTATTTGCGACGTATTAATTATAAGCTCAAAGCGCAATTTCCTTATGCGCTGGGGTCTTTACGAGAGCTTATAAGTCTACATTTTCGGGGTCATGGCTTGCTTCTTTGTTTGTAAATTTTTTAACCGGCGAGCTGAAGTGCGGAATTTAATCACCAGTGTTTGTTCTTTGGGTGTAATCTAAGACTACGCCGTTGTCGGTGGCCACATGCTAGCAGGCTGCGAGTAATTTACATGACCAATACCCAAGCACGATCCTTGTTGTTATAAACGAAAGCGAGTATAACTGTGTATCTCACTTCCCGCGCTATTTGATGATTCGTGTTCGTGTTTGCAACTGGCAATAGCAGATGATTACATGGGTGTTGATAACTCATTCTCAAATAGTGAGACGCCATCCTAGCCATTTGCGTTGCACTACTGGCCGGTTTAAGGACCTGTGCTTCTTATACATTCTTGATCTGTTTTCTTTTTTAATTACGGTCCACTGCAAATCTTGGATCTTCAATCATTTACTAAATAAGTTATTTTGGACCCCAAATGTGCAATGCGCTGATTGACATATGACTGAAAATTGCTCTCTTTATACTGCGGCTTATTTTCAGGATACGTCGATATCCAATCCGAGCTCTATTACTATCCGAGCTGATGAAACCGTTTAGCGGGAGCCCTGATAGTGTCTGCAGAAGGCAGCTCGAGTTGCGTGGAAGCTTTTTTTGTAAAACAAAAGCTTTCCTATTTGCCTAGCTATTAAAATTGACATTTTCGACGCTGCTAGCTTGGGGAACGAAAATATGCAGCGCACATTCTCGATCGCGCGTTTCAGCAGTAACTAGCGCCATACAAATGCGATGCTAGACTTAAGCATTCGAATACAAAAACCAGTTCAACAATCCCCTCCGGTCGCCTACTTGTACAGTGAAGTAATTATCTTAGTTCAACTTTTACACAGGCCAACCGGGAAACCTCCGGACATTTCTCTCCCCCAGAAGGGAGTGTTAAGCAGTCCTTCGATCTACATGTGGTCTGTCCACCATGGGTCAGCGTTCTGCGAGGTCAGGTGGTGTAAATTGATGCTGCTGCTGGGGAAGAACCCTAGCGATCTCCCACACGTGTCGTCCCTGCTTTATCGAAACTGGGAAAAGTGTTTGTGGGAGAAACAGTCCATGAAAGCCCAGGTAGCTGGCTGAGCGAGGAGTTCGTTGTGTTTCGTTCTGGTTCGGGGATCAAGCGAAACGTGCAGCTATGGGGTAACCAACCTACTGTGTGTACGGGAACATTAAAATTGCAAAGAGCAGCGTAACATTGATATACATAAAGGGGTACTTCGAAAAACATACTAAGCAATTTTTATGTTTCCGAAAATTTTGTTCTATCTTGGTAGTTTAAAACCGTTTTTGTCTTTTTTTATTGCTTTTTTAAAAGTTTGTAAAAGCATGAAGACGCTACATGAACAGTAGAAAAACTTGCTCTATGGAAATTACTGAACGCTAACTAAGTCCGAAAAACGAAGTGTTTCAATTCCCTACCACGTCGATTGAGAGCGTATCGCGTGGAGATGATGTCGGTTGAGGCTGTAGGTTCCGCTGGAGCGGAGTGGCTGATCTGAGGTTGTGGCGTTGGCCGTGATGGCACAGGCTGAGTTGCTTTTTGCATCGTAGATTCATAGTTGTCAAGAAATGCTGGATTGAGTCCGTCAACATCCATCGTCTCAGTGTCATCATCGTAGTTAACGGTCAACGTTTTGTCGCTTTTGCGCATGACGTGGTGCAGACCAGAATAAGGAGGTTGGAGCAGCTAGCATACGCTATTGTTGCAGACGAACACTTGACTACAAGTAGCATGACGTTCGTCCACGTTTACACGCAAGTGCTGTGCTCTCCGTGGCACAGGCTGAAGTTGTCGCATGCGATGTGATTGGCGAGCCTCGTTGCCGTCATAGTTTCAAGATGTTGGCGCTTTCGTTGGGACAACTTTATCAGGTAATTGCTGAGTGCAGCCAAATCCTCGCGAAGATGCTATGACATGTCAATCCACTTTAATTTTGTTCCTTATGCCTAAGAGAACTAGCGGAACTGCTTCATGCCAGGGTGTGCTAGAATGGGCACAAAGTGAAGCCGTGAGTTTTCGGTGAAATCTTACCATCATCCCGTTAGCTGCGCGGTGGTATGCGTTAGTACGGTTTCCCTGGCAACCAAGTCCTTGGGGAAATTTGCTGAAGGATACGTCCAAGCGTGAGCTTCGGTCGGTGATATTTTCGCTAGGGCGGCCTAACTGAGCTACCCAGCGCTTGAAAAAAGCGCGTGTGATTGTCTCAGATGTGTAGTCGGGAATTGGAATCGGTTTTGGCCAATGTGTAAATTCGTCTACACAGTTGAGGAGGTACACGAAACCTTTGCATGGGGATAGAGGTTCGACCAAGTGGAAGTGAACGTGTGCGAAACGAGAGTTAGAAGCATGAGGAACGTCAAGTGGGATTTTGACTCGTTGACACTATGGATTGAGCCCAAGGCGGACGTCGCAATTAACGTCAGACCAAACAAAGCGTTCGGTTAGAAGCCTCTATGGAGCACGTATGCTGGGATGAGACAGGTTGGGTAGTGCATTAAAGACTAGGGGGCGCGTTGTTGTAGGCACTAAGGGGCAAGGAGAGGTTTGTGTAATGTTACAGGTGATAGCCTACATAGATGACATCAGTAGAACCTTGCTTAGTTTCAAAGAAGTGCTGCGTCGTAGCTCGTCTATATCGGGATCAACTTGTGGGGCTGAATTCATGACGGCTAGATTCCGGTGCAAAGCTAATTGGATGGATTCGTGAAAGAGCGTCCGTGACAGGACTAAGAGTACCTGTGACATGGCGTACGTCTGTCGTGAACTGTGAGACGTAGTCTAGATATCTAGTTTTCTGCGGGGAATAGTTGTCTTTTGCACCATTGATTGCATAGATCAATGGCTTGTGATCACTGACGGCTGTAAAAAATCGACCGTCGAGGTAATTACGAAAGTGTCGGATACCAAGCTAGATTGCGAGTTGTTCCATACTGAAACTGCTGTAATGCTATTCGGTAGCTTGCAAGGGTATCGAAAAGAAATCATCGATGGTCGATTGGCTGTTGGAGAATTGCACCGATGGCGGTGTCTGATGCGTAAGTTATCAGAAGGAGGTGCAGTTGGGTCTGGGTGGTGCGAGAAGCGCTATGTTGGAGAGGTCTTCCTTTAGTTTCTCGAAAGCCAGTTCAGCGTCGTCTGGAAAGTGAAAAGAGTGTTGCTTACCTCGGAGAAAAGACGTCATTAGTCGCATTATGCTCGCATGGTTAGGATTGAAGCGTCGGTATTAGTTGTACAGACCAAGAAATCGAAGTAGCTCTTTGAAGGAGCAAAAAGCAGGTTAGTCCTTCCCTCTCTGGATTTGGTCTGGCAGAGCTTTGATGCTAGTGGAGGAGATCTTATGGCCAAAGAAGTCAATGTTGCTCTGGTCAAGTTCTCGTTTGTCGGGGTTCACAGTAACCCCAAGTCAGTCGATTGCAAAGTGCGTCAAAGTGATTATGTTCCTCGTCAGGAGAGCTGGCCATTAGAATGATATCTCATTATGGATAAACAACTTCGAGTCCTTGTGTTACCTCACGAATGCAGCGCTGAAAAGGTTGGACAATTTTGCTGAAGCCGAAAAGCATTCTGAACTACTCGAATAGACTAACTGACTGCAGTTTCAGGAATGTCGTCTGGCGCCACATCTGTTTGTTGGTAGACACGCACTAAGTCAATTTTGCTGAAGCTTGACTTACCAGCTAAAGGTGTGCTCAGGTCGTGCATGCGCGGAATTGGATACATATCCGGGACGGTAACTTTTTTGAGTGCCCTGTATTCGCCACAGGGTTGTCAGTGACCGGCTTTCTTCTGTACTAGGTATAATAGGGGTGCCCATGGATTTTTGGATGAGCGGATTATTCCATCTTAGAGCATTTGCTCTAATTCTGCCTTAGCCGTTTGGGTTTGTCCGGGGCAAGTCTACTAGGACTGGCTGAAACAGATAGACCCTTAGTGCAGGTATGATGCATGACGTTTGGCGTCACTGAAGGTAAGTCATTCTGAATGCAAACGAGCTTAGTATGCCGCTTGAAAAGGTATATAATAGTCTGGAGCTTGAGGCAGGACACGAATGGAAGTGGTTGCGGCCACATTGGAGCTGGTTCAGATAACACTGAGCTGTGTATTAAAGTCGATAGGCTTCTGCCTTTTAGCGTCAACAATAAGATCGAAATGTTGTGAAAGCTAAATGCCCATGGTAGCAAAAAGGACAGCTGTTTCTATGAAAACCCAGAAAAAGGTCCGCCGAAAGCCTAAA